GGCCTATATATATATATATATATATATATATATATATATATATATATACACATATATGTAATTTAAAGTATTTTAAAAATGTATTACGTTGTACCCAACATCTCTGATAATTTATCAATAAATTGATGAAATTGTGTTATGTTTTGTTTCATTGTTTTATACTGTGCCAAATATCCACACTGTAAAAACAGCGTGGAGCATTTAAACACAAAGCTCCATCAATTTTGTCCCGTTATTGGTGACACGTTTAAAAACTAAATGTGTTTAGGCCAGACCTAATGTGTTTAGGTTTCTGACGTGTTTAGGATTAAATGTGATGTCAAATACCCAAGCTAAACACGTTAAGATCCTAAATACATTGAGCTATGTTTAGCTTTTAAACGTGTCACCAAAACCGGGACAACATTGCGTGGAGCTTTGTGTTTAAATGCTCCACGCTGTTTTTACAGTGCAGAAAAAGTAATCTGCTTAGTTCATGACCTTTGGCTGAACAATTTAGAGAGCATTTAATTGACCAAAAAACTTTTAAAAACCCTTTGCATCTTTAGGATAATATATAAGGAGTTACCCCGATTCGGTGGATCATTTCAGCATACCAGCCCCTGTCTTTGCGTAATGATGTGAGCATGCTGCTATAGTACTATAAGCGCCTCTAGGTAGGCACGCCCCCGTATACGCAATTAAAGTACAATGACGCTGCAAGTTATATGGATTATTCTCCTAGCTTTCATACGACCAAATGTCAACAAACTAATACGAGTTTGTAATTCATGTTCAATAACATTATTGTTATTTCAAATCATTTCCAAAGCGTGGAAGCCCGATTCGAATTACAGCATTTGCATGGCTGGAGATGTGTTGCACAGTGTTTTAAATTCGAGATTACCTCAACAATCTTTAATCTTTCATCACAGAGATAAATCTTGATTTCCAAATTTTTATTAACGATGTTTTACTTTGGATAATTTCTTTCAGTATGATGGTTGTTGGTTTTATCGTCACATTTTAGTTGTATCATCCTCTATGTATATTGCACTAAATATATAAAAATAATAAAATAATTGGGTATATATATAGTTTTTTTTTATTTGTTTGATTCAAACAACAGCAGTGCCTCAACAGATTTATTGAGGTATTTTCAATCATTTATAGTTTATGCCTACAATAGGTGTCGTATCTTCGTTTTCAACTTTATTTGATCTCAACTGGCAGCATTAAAGCATTACGTGAGAATACATATAATAAGTTTAAAAATACAGAAATATAAAAACCGTGAAACATCATAAGATTGTAAAAATTGATAAAATTATTTATCTAAAACATTTTAATTCTATTTACAAAATTAGAAAAATAATAACATTAATTAGAGCAAACATTTTAATATTTACTTAACTAATAAAATATAACAATTAGATTAGATAACAAAGCCATATCAAATATTTACAATTAAAATTATTTAAAAAAAAACTTTTTAATTTCATTGAATTATTTCATATTAAAAAGGGAAAATAAATTTTATCCGTGAACGCATTCAGCATGTTAAATGTAACAGAGGCACTGAGGAACTTGATTCAAAATACATATGTTTAAAAACACGACTCAGGGAAATAAACATCATTAAAAACATACAAAATATAACAAAGAATTCCAACTTTGGTTTCATTCACAATATCGAATTCAGAAAGCAACTGAGGTTGCGCTGCCGGAGCTCTGAAACACGTCTACATTACACAACTACACACGATCAATTGTTTCAACCGAATGCTGTCAACCTACACAAATCATGAAAGATTTTAATGAATATTACATTTCAATCTCCACAATTATATTAATTATATGTACATTTAAATAATGTACTAGAAAATAAAAAAAAAATGATTGGTTTTGCAAAAAAAAAATGATGTTTGACTGACCAATTATAATGTAAGCCTAGGTTTATTTCAATTTGACACAAGGATGAAAATAACTCATTCACGGTGGAAATTCACATTATAAACGAGTAACAAAAACAGCTGGAGCAATTATTTTTATTTCATTATTGTTAGTTCAGTATCAAAACGGAAGAGAAGTATAATTCTTTTACACATGCCTATGTGTATATAAACAAATATATAAATAATAAAATGCTCGAATAATTTTACGCAGGATGTCTATCGTAGAAATTAGAATTTTCATGTATTGTTCTGTCTACAGTATGTTAGGCTCATCGATACATCCCCGTGGGGCTACTTTTATTAAATGATGTTTCAAAATATGGCAAAATATCTTGTTTTGTAGTAAGCTGCAGTCCCATGTAAACTGAACATAACGTAAATAAAAACATCATATCTGGTTTTCTAGCTTCGAAATTCAGTGATTTTACGTGCTTGATGACTTTCTTCCAGTATTTCTCCCTCTCAGTGACTCTCATCATTGATATATCGTAAACAAGTTTATGCCAAAGATACTCAACGTTGAGACCCTCGACACAAATGAAAGGTAACACAGCGAACATTATCTTTTGATCCCAAATAAGCAGATTCCATAAGATTTCTGCATCAATTATATTAAGATACTTCTTATCCATATTGTAATTCCAAGTGATTTGACAAAAAATACCTATTAGGCCGATAGATGCAGAGAACAGTAACCATTTATTTGTGAAGTCGCGAAATTTCTTAAAATCTCTAAACATCTCATCTGTTCGTTTTCTGCTTGAGTTGAGACTTGTTGAATCCATGCATACAAACTTGACTACTAGTCTACACTCGTGCCTTAACGAACATCTGATGACGTAGACGATGATACAGAAACAACCATACATAATGTAGCCAACAACTGCAGTCCAACGGCCGATGGCACTATGAACTGGATCCGTATTTTTATGATGATCCACTTTGTCATACACGTATCTGAGGCAGGCACAAGATAGTGGCCATACGAAACAAACCACTAAGGCCAACATTGATATATTATGGAAGCCTGGCATTAAGAACCGCAGTCTATCTCTTACATACCCCTCACGAAAAAAATAATCAGGTTGAAGGCGACCCCATATACAGATTAAAGGGACCACAATTAGTTGGAGTATATACGTACTGTAGGAAACAAGAAATAGAAGCCCAACATGTTTTCCCCAAAATAAACTAAAATACGCTCCTACATCATAAATAATTAACACAAATACTAAGTTGAGATATAGAAAGCCGGATACACTAACTGCCCAGCACCAACAACGATGAGTTACTCCATCTGAAACAAAAAATACGAGATTCATTTTCGCTAATAAAATCAAAATTTTTGAAAATTGAAAAACTTGGGAAACTAGACTATGGTACTTCATACAGTGAAGGTCCCACATTTCTTCGGGGAGGAAAACAATGTAAAGGTATTTTTTACGGTATAGACTCTACAATCGATTAAATTATGACTTTGAAACTCCTAAATTGTCATATTTTTCAGGGCGGAACTTCGTTCAAAATTAGGCAGGGGTGGGGTGTCAACTTGTTTCCAAAAAAAAAAAAAAAAAAAGGGGGTGGGTTCGGGGGTCCTCCCCGTGAAAAATTTTCTAGAGGGCTGGAAATTAGCTTTTCCGACTTCTGAGGTGTCTTTTAATAACTTTTATGTTCTTCAAAATTCAAGGTTTTCTCCTCTTGAAAACGATTCCATGATTCGATGAACCCCAAGAAGAAAGGGGGGGGGGGTTCCCCCCCCCCCGGAAAATTTTGAGT